ACCCTGTCTCGAAAAACCAAAAAAAAAAAAAAAAGAACGATCCACCTGCCTCTGCCGTTCCAGTACTAGAATGAAAGGTGTGTGCTGCCTTCACGCCTGACCTCCCTTTTATGTTTTTGAGCATTCACAAAATATATTCTGGTAACCTTCCAAGATACTCTGAAATGTCAGTTCAGGACATTTGGTGCCAGGGAACAACACTGTACCCTAGGGCAGCACATCTGTTATACTCTCCCTTATAAAGCAGTAATGGGGGAACTCGCCCTGGGACTTCCTGTCATTTCATCTCCTTGATCTCTTTAGAAAAGTCTTCCTCTGAGCTTTGGACGTCCTGATAGCAAAAGGCATTGATGTAGAGCAGAGTGAAGTCAGTGTGAGTGTAATAGGACAAACTAGATGTGTAAGATGTGTCATGACAGGGTTCCAGCTCAGCCACCTTCCCCGTTTGGCTGTCTGGACAGACCCGGTTCTGTGGCGGTCTAAAAGCTGGGAGGCAGCAGACTCTGATATGTGGCATGCTGACCCTGGGACCAAGACTTGTCTGCTTGGAGACGATCTTGCCACTGCTCAGCCTCCAAGTTTATTCCAAGCTTGTCATCATACACTTTCCCTTTTATTCCTCACAAGAGCCCTCCAGCAAAGCTAGAAAGATGGCTCAGTGGTTAAGAGACTTTATTTTTCTTGGAGAAGATTCAAAAAAGCGTACTGAACAGCTTCTAACTGCCTGTATCTCTAGCTCCAGGGAACCTATACCTCAGACACCTGCACTCAGGTGCACATACCTACACATTACTAATAATAACAAAAATCTTTATAAAGCCAAGTATGTGGTACACGCCTTTGCTTCCAGTACTCAGAAGGCAGGGCCAGGCAAATCTCCTGAGTTGAAGGCCAGCCTGGTCTGCAAGGAAGTCCCAGACCAGCCAGATAACGCAGAGGTTAAAAATGTGTATTGCTCTTGCAGAAGACCCAAGTTTGATTCCCAGCATCAGGTAGCTCACAACTGTCTGTACCTCCAGTTCTCTGAGGCTCACTCTGGTGTTATGTAGCACTTGTGCTTGCACATACATAGATAGACACACATATATTCCCCTAATTAAAAATACAACAAATCCTGAGAGACAGACTGACTAGTGAGGAGTTGGGAAGGACTGAGAGGGACCACTCCAACCAGGGGACAGAGAGCAATGGCAAGCTGAAGCTATCTGGGGTGAGGGTGGGGGGGGGGGGACACGTAGACTGGAATCTGACCACAGGCCATCATACAGAGAGGTAGAAAAGAAGTTCAGATCTAATGTGGCTCTGATAGGCCCTCCCTAACCTTATACTCTTCCCCCATGGGGGTTGATTTCTCCAAGAAATCCCCCAATCTTCACAGTGCTTCATTCTTTTCTTTCCTCTCCTTCCTTCCTTCCTTCCTTCCTTCTTTCTTTCTTTCTTTCTTTTTCTTTCTGACAAAGCCTTAATAGGAAGCCTAGGTTCACCTCAAACAGCAGTCCTTCTGCCTCAGACATCTTAGACCACAGAAATAAGAGGTTCTAAGGTTGTAGCAAATGTGTCAGGTCTCAGTCATATTTGCTCAGCACCCAAGTTCCTGTATTTGTTGACAATCTCTTCCTGAAAGTATAGATGTTCTATCTGAAAGGTCTCCCTGTTTATGAGCAAATACTTGACTCATTCACAGGGCAGATCAAAAAAGCCAACATGTTAATCTCCTAAGCAGCAAACACCATGCAATAAACATCCAGAACTGCTGTGGACATAACGTATTTCAGTTACTTATTGCTGGCAACACACCTAACCCAAATCTAGTATCTTTTGACAACTGTTTTTTGTTGTTGTTGTCGTTGTTGTTGTTGTTGGGCAGAGTATTGTTCACCTGTAACCCAAGCACTTGGGAGGTAGAGATAGGAAGGTCAGAAGTTCAAACTCACCTTTGGTTCTTAGGGAGTTTGAGGCCAGTCTGAGATGCAGGAAACCATCACAAATCAACAAAATTGAAATAAAGTACAAAATAAAGTACAATGTAAGGTGTTGGGGACTGTTAAGCAAGTTATCCGTTTAACCTTATTTTACTTCCTGCCCCCAGACAGATGAACTTGCCTCAAACTCAGTATGCAGACCAGGTTAGCCTTCAATATATCCAGTCCTCCTGCCTCTGTTTCACAGTTGCTGGGATTACAAGTTCATACCACAGTGTCCAAAGTTTTTCCTCCTACAGGATTTTTTCAGCCTAAGCTAACCTGAAATTCACTATGTAGCCCAGGCTGGCTCCAAACTTAAAGTAATCCTCTAACCTCAACTTCTCAAGTATACTACCATTATACCTGGCTTTATGCTAATATTTTATTTCATTTTTTTGATACAGGAACTCATGTATGAAACTGGTTTCAAACTTGATATGTAGCTATGACCTTCTAATCGAACTTCTAATCCTCCTGCCTCTGCTTCCTGGGTGTTAGGGGTGGAAACCAGAGCTTCATGTACACTAGGCAAGTACTCTACCAATTGAATGATGTTCTCAGCCACAATTCTACATTTTAAATATATTTTGCTAAAACATCTCCTTTTCCCTATAATGTGACTTATTTTATCTATTTTTGGCTTTTAGAAATGGGATCTTGGCCAGGCTGTGGTGGTGCACACCTTTAATCCCAGCACTTGGGAGGCAGAGGCAGGTGGATTTCTGAGTTCCAGACCAGCCTGGTCTACAGAGTAAGTTCCAGGACAGCCAGGGCTACACAGAGAAACCTTGTCTCGAAAAACAAAACAGAAATGGGATCTCATTATGTGCAGCCTTGGCACGGAGTTCGATCTGTAGACCAGGCTGACCTCAAACTCATAGAGATCTGCCACCTGCATCTGCCTCCTGAGTGCCCGGCTGTAGAGTGTTATTCTGTGGAGGACAGCACTGATGGGTTGACGTATAAGAGGAAAGGCAGGGGAGTGAAAGCAACAGTAGATAGAAAGAATTTCATGTTTAGGACTTTCGGAAGCTTGTGCTGTATTCTGATCAGGATTTGATGAGGAAGTACACACTGTAGTCTCAGCACCTAGAGACCTGTACATTATCACAAGTTCAAGGCCAGTCTAGCTACATACAAACCAAGGCTATAAAGGAAGGACTCTATAAAAAATATATATTATTTTTTAAGGTTGGGTAGATGGATTGTGAAGAGCCTTTGGGGCTGCTTGGCAGGAATCTGACATTGCTAAGGACAAGGAAATGGGCTTTAGACTAGAATCTGACTTTGGGCCATGACAAGGAAGTAAGTTCAGGCAGGAGTCTATTTTTAGGCTAAAACAGAGAAGTAAATTCAGTCAGGAATCCAAGTCTTAGGCTAAAACAAAGAAGTAGGCCTCAGGCTTGAATATGACTGTGGGCTAGGACAGGGATGTAGGCTCAGATACTTTGTCATCTTAGAAACAGGAAGAGTGATCCTCGGATGATCGTGGGACTCTGTATACTGCCTTGTTGTTCCTTGACTGTTTGTTTTTATTGTATTATTGGTTGGTTCCTCAACCTAGAACTGACCTAAATACTTGCATGTAATTAAAAGGGTTTAAAAAAGAAAGTTGAATTAAACAAACCTGCCTTCAGCCTCAGAACTGGCTGGAATCATGGTGCAATTTTGTCTAACCGGCTCTTTTCTTTTAATCCTCACTCCTGCTCTGGAGAACCGGTTGACTGACTGAGCGGGCTTGGTCAATGGATCTACGTAGTTAAGACCACTTGTTTGAAGAGGACTCAGGTTTGATTCCTAGCACCCACATGATCCTGAAAGCCATCTTAATCCAAGTTTCAGGGGATCCACCAGGTACACACACATGCATTCAGGCAAAACATTCATACACAGAATGTAAAATAAATAACATTTAAAAATGTTTTAAAGGAAAAAGAAAAATGTTAATGAAAAAAGGTCAGTTGGCTGTGAACCTGATGACAAACAGCCACACAGAGAGAGTGTGACAGACATGGAGGCCAATTTTGCTAAAAGCACGGGCTGCCCATTGGGTCCTGCTCATGTCTACCAATTTTGTATGTCTCCTTTGCTGTGAGTCATTCACTCTGCAGTCACCTTGGATTCCAGGAACAGATCTGGTGGCGAAGTGTCTTGTGACAAGACAGACAAATCGAGTCTTCACACAGCAATGACGCCTGCCTCTCTTGTTTATGATCAAGACAAGACCTCATGTATCCTCAGCTGCCTCTGAATTCACTATGTAAAGTACGGTCTTGACCTCTGAATTCACTATGTAGTCAAGTACGGTCTTGACCTCTGAATTCACTATGTAGTCAAGTATAGTCTTGACCTCTGATCTTCCTGTTTGCTTTGCCTAAGTGTTCCATCTCCCTCAGGGCCATGTGAGTGCCAGGCAACCCTTAAAACACTAAGTTATGTCAGCTTTTTTTTTTCCTTTTTTTTCCCCCTAATTTTCACTATTACTTTTTGTTTGGTTTTGGAGGATAGACCCAATCTGTATGGACCCCCAGAATGGAATCTGTGCCTCGGGCCTCTGTTACTTGAACACGGGCTGCCTAAAGCACTATTAACAACCGATCAAGTCGTTCTCACTGTGGGGACTCAGCAGTCAGGGAATGAATGAATGATCATAATCTTTACTGATGAAGTGAGTAATATTATAAATTATTCCAACTGGCTTCCATTTTCTAGTTGTTAAGACTTTTGTATAGGCTTCTGAGCCTGGGTAGGTGTGTTCCATGGCACACCCTGCCTTGGCTCCGGAATGCACGTTTTAAATTCTGTAGTCCACTCCCTCTCCACCTCTCCACCCCACCCTGAGTAATAGAATAATGTTCCTTTGTAAGGCAAATTGAGTGGGGGTGGACTCAAAGCTCTTGCTGCCCTTCCTCTATCCCTATCTCTTCTCTCCCTCCCCTCCACCCCCCACCTTCCCTCTGCTAGCCTTGGTTAGTATCCAGGGCCTCCAGTTCCTGGGAGAGTCTAAACACCAAGAGTCGTAGTCAGTTTACCCCATTCCGTTTTCTGCACAGACTCCTTTTTTATTTTAATTTTTTCCAATTCCTAACAGGAACAAAATGCAGTCAACATACGTGTTTAATTTGGCAGGAAGAAAGGGCTATGAACAACTGTAAATTGTCAAAACAGCAGCAGCTACCAGCCTTGATGGCGGTAGTAGTGAAGAGAGAAGCAGCCTGCTTTGCACATCAAAGAGGACTGTCACATCCTTCAGCTGAGGGTGCCTACAAGGTGTAGAAGAGGAATCACTGCTCCAGGGTGAGCACAGCAGCGTTCACAATTCCTATGAAGAGAGGGGGGGTGCCCCTAAATAGCAAGAAGCAGATCCGTTTTTCTTTCTAGAGATGACATTGAAATTCTTGCATCAGCCAAGAGAATTTAGAGGTCAGGTTTTTTGTTTTTGTTTTTTTTTTCAGAGACAGGGTTTCTCTGTGTAGCCTTGGCTATCCTGGAGCTTGCTCTATAGACCAAGCTGGCTTCAAACTCAGAGATCTCTGCCTGCATGTGCTGAAATTAAAGGTGTGTGCTGTGTCACCCAGCTTGAAAGTCAGTTTTAATTTGCTTTGCTGGCTAGTTCCCTGAGGCCTGGATTGTTTCCCTTGAACACCTACTGCGTCCTGCTGAGCATCTTCTCAATTCAAGGCCACTTCAATTTCCTCTGAGTGTTCTTTCTCAGTGATGTTTTTTCTGTGTGACTCCCTAGATAGCTAGCTAGCTAGCTCTCTCTCTCTCTCTCTCTCTCTCTCTCTCTCTCTCTCTCTCTCTCTCTCTGTGTGTGTGTGTGTGTGTGTGTGTGTGTGTGTGTGTGTGGTCTGTGTGTATGCAGGCAGGGCATCCACCCCTAGAGGCTAGAAGTTAATGTAAGATACCTACTCTATTACTCTCCATCTTTATTCTTTGGGATTCCGTCTCATTGAAGCTGACTGATGGTATACAGCAGCTGGACCAGCCCTGGGATGGTCCTTTCTCCAGTCCCAGCTCTAGGATCAGTGGTGCATGTAGCCTGGCTTTTGATGTGGGTGCTGGGACTCAGGCTCAGGTTCTCATGCTTGCGGCACAAGCACTTTACCTACTGAACCATCTCCCAGCTCTAGAGGGCTCTTGAGATCTTTCTATTTCTTTTGGGGGAAGGGGATATTTTGTTGGTTGGTTTTTCTTTTTTATTAATTTTTAATATTTTTATGAGTGTGTGTCTCTTTGTAGGTGAGTGTAGGCACTCTGGGAATCCAGAAATGTTGGGTCCCTTGAAGTTGCAGGCAATTGTAAGCCACTTGCTGTGGGTGCTGGGTCAAACCTGGATCCTCTGCAAGAACAGTCTCTCCAGCCACACTGGTTTTCTTGAGACAGGGTCTTACTGTATATGACCTAGGCTTACCTGAAGTTTGCTATGGAGATCAATTTTGCCTTGAACTTGCAATGATCCTGCTTCTGCCTTTCCAGTGCTGGGATTACAGATGTGGGCCACTGTGCCCTACTGAGATTATTCATTTCAATATAAGTAGTGCTTGGACCACAGTGTAAGAAAAATACCTAGGAGGATGGAATAAAGTGCACATTAGACTTTTTTTTTTTTTTTTTTTTTTTAGGTTTTTCCAAGACAGGGTTTCTCTGTGTAGTCCTGGCTGTCCTGGAATTCACTCTGTAGACCAGGCTGGCCTCGAACTCAGAAATCTGCCTGCCTCTGCCTCCCAAGTGCTGGAGTGCTGGGATTAAAGGTGTGCGCCACCACCGCCCGGCTCACATTAGATTTTTTAAAAAACTATCCTGCATCATGGAGTCAGTGTGGTCAAGAGCATCACTGTGGGCCTGGAGTGATGGCTCGGTGGATAAGAGCACCTGCTCACCTTGCAGAGGTCGAGCACTCACACTAGGTAGCTCACAACCTCCTGTCACTCCAGTGCCAGATGCTCTGATGCCCTCTGACCTCCCGGGCATCTGCATACATATGGTGTACACAGACTCATGCAGGCACACACACATACATGTAAATAAAAACAATTAATGTCAGTTGTGGACAAGCACGTAAAAGTGCTTGCTGCCAAGCCTGACGGCCTGAGTTCAGTCCCTAGAACCCTCATGTTAGGAGAGAACCGACTTCCTTCAGTTGTCTTCTGACCTCCGGACACATACACACACACACAGTAGAATTTAAAAAAAACAAAACATCAGTGGTGCTGGCTGCCTGGAGCCTATCCCACCTACCCCACTGCCACTGTCAGCTTCTTCATCTGTTTCTTTGTTTCCAGTACTGAGAGGATCAGACCCAGAATCTTGCTACCTCCCACCCTCTCTCAGTGGTAGCTTCAGCCAACATATCCTTATGAGAATGCTGCTGTCCCTGCTACTGTCACAACCGCCCGTTCACGTGGTCACTGCACCTGGAACTCTTGGAGTTCTCGTCCACATGTCACATCCCTGCCTACCTGATCCAAACCTCTCAGTCAGTCCTGCCCCCGTGAACTGGGCACTAGGACTGAGATCCTGTCTCAGGAGCCTGTGGCTAGACCACATCAGCAGGAAGCTGCTGGCAGATACATTTTCTATCATGCTCATGTAGTAAGCTATTGTTTTCCTTGGTACCCATGGAATAGAGAAGTAGCAGGCTGTAGAGGAAAAATACAGGCTTTGGGGTGAGGAGGATAAGCTTCATCACTGCGTGGACAGATAAAATTCAGTTTCCCCAACTCTCTTCTGAATGCAGAATGACCATATTCCTGACCTGGGAGGAATACTCAAACTTGTGTTTTAAGTGTGTGTTAAGGGTCCCAGGTCTCAAACCTGGGACAAATGGCTGAAGTGCTCATTAACATATCAAAGTGGATGCTGGCTGCCAGGTTCTCCCAGCATCCCTCAGCCGCTGTTACAGGGCCCTCCTGATTGGCATTCCCTGTCCCCTACCCTGAACTCTTCTGCCCAGGTATTTCTCCCTCCTAGCTCTTCTGACCCCTGTATAACTCAGCCATTTTGGCTCTGCTTGGCCCCAGGCTGCCCCTCTTGGTTGGTGGTTCTTTTCCCCTCTCTCCTCCCCCATCTCCTCACATGTCCTGGCTCAGGATTAAGGGTCATGTTCACTCTAGACTCTCCCAATGTCTCTGGCTCTCCCTATGCTCTCCCCTTATCCACAATAACCCTCTTCCACCATACCCAGGAGCAGTCATGCCCTTCTGTAGCATGACTTTTGGGGTGCTTTAATGGGTTCTATGATCTACTACTACCCTTCCAACCCTTATTCCACCCTAATCCTTTCCCACCCTTCAGTCGTCAGGTAGGAAAGAAAAAGGTTAGAGAGGAAGGGGGACACAGACCTTTTAGACTACTTCCTGCTGATTAGGCTCAGCAGGCTCCTTGGGGCGAGTCCAATCTCAGTCATCAGGATACCTCCAACCAGAAATTCAGCAATGCAACAAGAGCAAAAGCAGCAGCAGCAGAGGGAACAGCAGCTGCCACAAGCCCTCTGGGGCTCTCACATTTATACCCTCTCAAGAGTCCCCAGAATTCCAAACATAAAATATATGCAGCTGGCAAAAATCACGCCCTCATAGAGCACAAGACAATCACAATTTAGAGGCTGTAGGCAGTCTGAAGCAACTCCATAACTCACACCTGGAATTAGGACAAAAACACATTTACATAACTGGGATTTTTAAGAAACCAAAATTCTCACTATATTTTTTTTTTTTTTATTTAAAGAGCCCAATGTAACCCCTGGGAGAGGTCTCCAGCACCAGAGTGACACTCAGCCTGAAGCCTGGGAGCTTGGGGGCTGGAAGTACAGCAGCAAGAAATACCTTAGAAACACTTCAGTGCCCAGACTGCTCACAGCCGCAAGAAATACCTTAGAAACACTTCAATGCCCAGACTGCTCACTGATGTTTCTGCTTGGTGAGCTAGGGCACGAGGCTTTGGGTCACTACTTTTCATTCCCTCCAAGACGGACAAGATGCTTGTTTTGAGTACAGTAGGTGGAGCACGGCCTCAGGCATGGTGCCTGTGTGTTCTCTCAGTGGGCTCCACCCAGTTCAGAAACTAAGGTTTGTATTGGAATTCAGCACTCCCCATATGCCAGACACATGCATGTGCTTTCCATGACTTTTTTCTGTCTAATTCCTGACAGCTAATCTGAGAATCCCCTACCAATTCTGAGGTGAGCCATAATTCAGAACTAAGTGATTGAAGGCTGCTATGACAGAACCTGAACAGCTGCTCCACAGCCATGGCACAGACCTTCCAGAAGAGCATTTCTACCTCTTGGGCAGATGAATTCATATTCTGTCTCTCCATCTTGTGTGTGTGGGAGGAGTGATATGTGCATGTATGTAGAGGCCAAAAGTGTCTTCCTAAAGCTTATCTTCTCCTTTTTGAGAATGAATCTCAGGCTGGTGAAATGGCTCACTAGATAAAGGTGCTTGCCACCGAGCCTAATTACCTGAGTTCAATCTCTGAGACTCACATGGTAGGAGAGAACTTACTCTGTCCTCTGATCTCCAAATGCATGCCTTGACACTGAGCAAAATAAATAAATAAATAAATAAATAGGCACCAAGACAGATAATTGTGGGATTTCTCACTAAGCCTGGAGCTCACATATTCAGTTGGACTAATTAGTAAGCCTCAGATACCCGCTTCTCCCCACTTCCCCAGTGTTGGAATCACAGGCTTGCGCTGATGTATGTAGCTTTTTATGTGGGTGCTAGGGATCCAGTTGCAACTTCCCATGACTTTACTGACTGGGCCCTTTCCCTTTATCCTCTCTCAATTCAAATCCTCTCAATTTGGATCATATGTTACAGCATGTATGGGTGGGTCTGTGTGCCCCTACTCTAGCACAGATGTGGAGATCAGAGGACAACTTGTAGGCATCAGTTGTCTCTCCGTACCATGTGTGGGCCCCGGGGATCCAGCTTTGGTGGCAGGCGCTTTGCCCACTGCAGTCTCTTACCAACCTAGTCTATCTATTATCTTTTTCTTCCCATGCCAGGAATGGAACAGTGCCTTGAACATGCTATGCAAGCCACCAGCTCTACAGACATCCTTTCATTGAGCAGTTATTTCTTCTCTGATGTTCTGATCGCTGCAGAGGCCTCCAAATACTTTTGAGCCCTTGCTGAAAAAGCTGGAGAGAGAGGCAAACATGAAGAGGGAAATGGAGGATGGAAGAGGCAAAGGGAGAGAAGCAGGCAAGCGACTCCACAATGATACTCATTCCTTTATTGTCAACTGTATTAATCTCAACAGGGCTGGGGCCTGCAGGCTGCTGGCAGCACCAAGCTAGGGTGCATTTCCACTTAACAGAAAGGCCTCCATCCTAAACCAAGGGGACAGAGGTTAATGCTTTATATATATTTATATATTTATATATTACATATGTCCCAGATAGTCATTGTATAGAGTGACAAGAATGGGCCACTGTGTGTAACTTTAATTAAAGGCCATAGCAACAGACATAGAAATTTGATCCTAATTAAGGCCCTTACTTTGTCAATCAAATGTCTGATACAGTAAAAGAAAAAGGAGAGAGACAGAAACTGAGATCCAGCCACTCCTAGTAGCCCTGTCCCCAGGGTATCTTACATTGAGTGTGGTGCCCCCTGTACAGATAAACATAAACATACACATAAACACACATGTACAATACCATAGGCAGGAGCACCTCCTCTGACCACACCTTGGGCCCAGCCTTTGGCTGTGGTGCTGAAGTGGGGTATATTGTGCTATAAGACTGTGAGAGTGAGCCAGACAATGTGGAGTCAGTGTGTCCACGTGATGAATGGGGTGACTCATGCAGTTTCATCTACAAGTGACAAAGAGGTCAGGGGGAGGTCCCTCAATGCCCAGGTCACATCGGGAGAATCTACACACAGCTCCTGTCCCAGAGAAAGCCATACTCTGATTTAAATCCTGAGTGTCAAATAATCATAGGGCTCTGATGGGAAACTAGGATTCCTTTGAAGGACAGACAACCAGAAGGCTCAACCATTCAGTCCAGTAGAATAGCAGAAAGCACAACAGTGCAGTCAAAGCAAGTGATCGCCAGACAGGACCTGGAATGGTGCGGGATGGGCTTATTTCCAAAAGAAGGAGAACGACCTGCTGCCCTCTGCACACGAGCTTCTGGCAGATCTGTCAGTTTCATGCCTTACCTAAGTAACAGACCTGCGTATAAGCCAGGGGAGAGGACTCCAACAGTAGGGCACTTGAAATCCTAACTTCCTGTTTTCTCTCCCTAAATTTACCCACCACCAGCCACCAAAATATACATCTTGAAAATAAATCGTCTGGGCGGTGGTGGCATACGCCTTTAATCCCAGCACTTGGGAGGCAGAGGCAGGTGGATTTCTGAGTTCGAGGCCAGCCTGGTCTACAGAGTGAGTTCCAGGACAGCCAGGGCTATACAGGGAAACCCTGTCTCGAAAAACCAAAAAAAAAAAAAAAAAGAAAATAAATCAATAAATATTTGGCAGTATGATTTTTAGTATTAAGAGAATTTCTTAATTTTTTAACTTAGTTTTATACTTAATAAATAATAATTAAGTAGTATATTGTTAAATGTTGAAAGCAGAAATTACAATTCCTTATACAACAAACTGTGTGCTCATCAGCGGCTTCTGAGTAGCTTCAGGACTTGGAAAAGGTTGGATTGGACTAAGCATGGTGATACATACCTGTAATACCTGCACTCTGGAGGCAGAGGCAGGAAAATAGCTGCAAGTTTCATCCACTCTGATCTACACAGTGTGTTCCAGGCCAGCCAGTGCTATACAGCCCCTGTCTCAGAATAAAACAAAGCAATACAAAGCAGCAGAAATAGACGATTATGAATTTTTTTTCTTAGGGGCATATCAGAAACACAATTAGGGAAGGAATCCAAGTTAGTTGTAGAATAGATAGAACTGGATGGTTTTAACTTAAACTTTTTAATTTATTTATTTTCTCTTTTTTTTGCTATGGAGTCAAGGAGGACCTCGAACTCCTGATCTGTCTACCTTCATCTCTCAGGTTCTGGGATTAAAGGTGTGCATGTACCACCAAACTCAATTTAAACCCAACTGTAAGAAGCTTATTTCGTCTTTAGTTATGTGTGTGTCTGTATCTGTAGGTGGGTATGTTCATGTGTGTGCAGGTCACTGCAGAGGCCATAAGGGAGTTCCAGATCCCCTGGAGCTACCTGATGTAGATGCTGGGAACCCAGCTTGGGTCCCTCTGGAAGAGCAGCAAGCGCTGTTAACCACTGAGCCATCTCTCCAGCTTTGCATATCTTTTTTAAACAAAGTTTCAGTTTATAGAATGGGCTATTATCACTGGCAATTCTTCTACCTCAACCTGAGTGACTTCAAACAATTTTTGTGGGATTGCATATTTATATATATACATAAAGATATTTTAAAAATAAAGACTGGGTATCATAGTTCACATCTATAACCCCAGCACCTGGGAAGCTGAGGCAGGAATGCCTCAAATTTGAGGCAAGAGTGGGCCACAGAGCAAGTGAATACTACTAGCAAGTCAGGACTACACCTTTAAAAAAAAAAAAGCAGAGGAAACAGCCAGACATGGCTCAGCAGTTAAGAGCACATATTGCTCCTCCAGAAGACCTGAGTTCTAGTCCCAACACTCACGTCAGGTGACTCACAACCACCTGTTAATTCCAGCTCCAGTGGGTCCATGCCTCTGACCTCTGCATTCATGTATGTAGACACACATGGTTTAAAAATAACAAAAATAAATCTTAAAAAAATAAGTTTTATCTTGCATGTAAAAAATAAAGGTCAATGAAAATTAACTTTTTAAAATAGAAATTTACTTATCACTTGCAGTACCCGGAGACATTTGGGACGGTCACAAAGGCAGGCGAGGAGGGACCAAGTCACACAAGTAGTAAAGAATGGATTGATTTTTCAACAAAATAGTGCCCCCCCCCAAGGATGTAGCTAAGAAATAGGGGTAATAGGTTAATCTGGCAAAGATTGGGCCTGGGTTTGTTTCTTGTGTTAGCTGGAGGCACAAAGCGAAGGATTTTGTTATCTGCATTTAGTAAGGGGTGGAATGACACTGATTCTTTCCACTGTGGACTGAGACCTGACAGCTTCAGGGAACAGTGATCAGGGCAGGAAGAAGCCACACCTCACAGGAGGAGAGGTGATCTGATGGTTTGTTCTCCAAAGAACCTTCTTGGAGGAGAGAAGGAAACCCAGGGGACTGAGGATAGATTGCCCCTGATGACAGACAGTCCATGTGTGTTCCATTTCCTGTAGGTCTCATGGTGGCAACAACTGTTTGGTTCACAATTCCCAATCCAAGGGCAGAGAGGGCTGGCAATGAAGTGGAGTTGGGAAGCCATGAGTTCTTGCCAAGGCTGGAGAGCCTGGGATGAGTCTTAGTGAGGCTACTGAAGTCGTTGGGAAGGGGCCTTGGAGGCTGGAAGAGCCTAGAGCCCAGAAAGAGGGGAGCAAGGCTCAGTCCACCAGGAGTGCAAGCCCAACACTGTTAGGACACCTCTCGCCCTCAGTGGACACCAGCAGTTTCCCAGCCCCAGAAAGCATCAGGGGCTGCTCACTATCACACAAGATGGAGACTGTGGACTTGGATGGGTAAAGGAAGCACTGTCTTCTCAGGCACTAGCCATCTTCCCTCTTGGGGGCATCTGACATAAGGAGCCTGGGGCCTGACTGAGATCTTTCCCCAGCCAGAAGAACAGGAGGCTATGCTGTGACCATGGCAGGCCCAGGTAGCTCAAGCGAGGGGATCTCTCCTCACTAATCAAGCTCCATGAATAAATAACATGAATTAAATAAAGGAGGCACAGAGAACAGGCAGAGGCACCACCTGCCAGTTTCCTGCCCCTTCACACACACTAGTACACACACTAGTTCACACACACACACATGCATACATATCACACACACGCACCAAGCATCAGATGGGATGAACCATGGATGGCTGCCCTGTCCTAGGAGTCTTTATGATGGGCAGCCTGACGGAGGGGTGTCAGTCATGGTCTACCACTGTTGCAGGGTGCAGAGGAGCAGAGGCCACGGAGGCATGAGCTGTGGAGGGTGGAGGAGGCCGCTGAGGACTCTGGCACCTGTAGAGAGGCAATGAGATGGGCCAAAGGAAAGATTAGGGAAACCAGAGAACAGAAATTAAAGCTTTTTCTTCCCCCTCCCCACTCTCTCTTTGATTGCCACTCAGACCCTCTTCAGCCTTGACCGAGCCATGCAGTCCTACTTCCTAAGCTCAGGGCTCACTCTGACCACGGTTGTACTAACCAGGATCTCGACTTTCGCACTTTAGACGTGGAAGGTCTTTCCAGAAAGCTGTCCAACCTCATGAGCCTCTCCATGTGTAGTATTCGTGGATCTTGTTCTTGGTCATGAGAAAATTCCATCTCAAAGATAGCCGGTGGGGACACATCCAATTCCAAAAACATTATATTCTCAGCCTGTGGTAAAAATAATACATCAGACATGGGCAGCAGTGTTATCTTCCAGGCACTGGGTCTTAAGTATCATAAATAGGATGGAATACTTATAGAAGTCATCGGTGAGGGTTTCTTCCTTCACTCTAACCCATATAACTCTCGAATAAAAGACACAAACCTGGTATAGCTTTATTAATGAGCTGTAATCCCTAACTGCCAGGTTCTGAGCTATTCTAACCTACATCCCAGCCATAGACCCTGTGTTACTTGCCAACTGAGTCTTGCTCTGTTTGCCCCGCTCTGTGCATATCCTCAAGGTGTTTTTCTCTTGACCACATACTCTTGGTCCATCCTGCCTCATGGCTACCTCCTTCTTCCCTTATCTTTTTCCTTCTCCTCATGGTCCCTTCATGAGACTCCCCCTCCCCCATCTCAGGTTCCACCTTCCTCTCCTGTCCAGTCACAGCCTCAAGCCTTTTATTATCCAATCATCAATAATTGGGGTCACATTGGTCAATACAATGCCCATGTCCAGACTGCAACCTATCTTGGGGCACAGAACTCAGCATCTGAATACACAGCGCACAAGACCAATCCCAACAGATACTAAGAGAGAGAGCACATGCTGTAAGCATTCCTTCTCCTTGGGTTTCTCTTTCTTCCTGGTTTCTACTTCCCAGCTTCTTACCCTGTATCTGGGATGGGACCCCATTGCCATGGCAACACGAGCATACTGGCTGATAGGTCTCTTATAGCCCACTGCAGAAGTTGGACGCTTCTTCATTTGGCTGTTATTCCTGTAAGGAAAATGGGATATTAGAGTTTATTGTTGGTTTAGTGGGCTATTACCTGTTTTGAGACCAGGTCTCATACAACCTGGGTTGGCCTTGAACTCATATAGCTGAGGATGATCTTAAGCTATATCTTAAGCTTTCATCAGTTGAGCCTCCTGTCT